AGGCTTGTGGGTGTAGAAAAAATGGAGAAGAATTAGGTCAAGAGAGACTTGAGTGAGGAGATGAAGGAAAAGGGAGCACCGAGGTTAATTTGAGGTTGGGAATTGGGTAAGACAAGGTCGACGAGAGAGGTGAAACTATTAGGAAATGGAGTTAGTCTTGGGATATCGATGTAAGAGAGCGATGGAAATATTTGTGAAAAAGGGCTACTGCAGAACCTTGAAAACGAACTCGTTTTCCCTAATGTGTGAATTCCATCCACGATGCACGGTAATCAAACAAAGTTAGTCCCAATTCAGCCAACCATTAGACCCCAACATAATATCACCTTATATATGGGTAATAGCAATAAATCCGTTGCAAACAAGGCTTAGTCCAATTGGAGTGGTTTCGAAAACATGAGCCCACACGACCCAAAACGTCTCCATTACCTACCATTACCTTCAAGTGTGGGGAAGATTGAATCGAAAGTCCCAAATGAGTGGCTAGTCTAGTTTGTGTAAAATTATTAGTGGAGCCTCCATCAATGAGGACCACGACTCGGGTGACCATTAATAGATCCGAGCTAGTTTGAGGGTAAAGGGCCCTATTTTTCCCGTGAAGGCATGGAAAGAGATCTTTGGTATCTCTTCCGAATCAAGATCGAGATCTTGGGGTAAAGAAATTTCAAGCTGGGTCCAGGGTAGTTAGGCTGGTCTCGACGATGACCTCATCAACAACATCGGCTATGAGGCATAAGAATTATGGAGGTTTGCAACGATGCCTAGGTGCAAATTTTGAGTCACGATTGAAGCATAGTCCCTTTCTCTAAGGGTTGCCATTTTAGGCTGGTGAGAGCCTCTTGATGGGGAAGGAAGAAGGACGGTGGGGAGAGGTTATTACGGGAGTGTTTATATGAGTTAGTGTAAGGGTGGTTCTTATAAAGGGTGATTTGTGAGGGTGGGTTTTGGCGAGAATTACACTTGTTTTCCATGAGTTTTTCCATGGCCATCGTATCATATAGCGATTAAAGTTTGAGTAAGTATAGCTCCCTTTAGATCTCCTCCTTCGAGTTGTAAAGGAAATAGTTTAGGAGATTGGTGTTGGTGAGGCTAATGGTACGGGTGGAAAGGGATTCAAATTCACCGAGGTAAGCTAAAATGGTGATGTTTTGTTTGAGTTTATAGAGTTAGGCTTCATAATTGAGGAATGAGGAAGGCCCAAATCTTAGCTCAGGTCGACGGAGAAAGGTCGGCAAGTGGTCGGTTGGGTTGTGGATCGCATCCAATGGTACCATTGAAGGGCTAGGCTAATCATGTAAAAAGCTGCTATGGTAAGTTTCGATCGGTGTGGGTGTTGTGGTATGCAAAGAAATGTTCTATCTAGAAGATCCACCCTATAACATTTTCACTAGCAAACGGTGGTATCTCTAATTTGGGTAAAAGGGTGGTTATGTTTGGTGGGTTGTCGGGTGTTGGATGATTGATTTGTGTGGGGATTGCTTACGACGGGGATGTTTTTGGTGGGGGTGTGAGATGTAGAAAGCTTATGGTGCGTAGGTAATGGAAGTAGAGGAGGTTGGATTGGACTTTTCTCAAACTTTGCCGGTTTTAACATCATGTCGGCCATGCAAGTTTGCTTGAGATGTCATTGATTTTTGTATCATTTCAAAGGTATTAGAATATGGTTGCACGGTGGAGCAAAAAGAGTTTAATTTGGAAAGGATGGAGTAATGGTGGGACGGTTGATCTACAATCTTCGTCAGTTGATCATCTAGAGCCTTGGAGCATGTTGTCATTCCTTCGTCATCTCTCAATGAAAGCACCAATGATACGACCTCTTTTGTAGAGATTAACAAGTCGAGTAGAGATTAAGAGAGTAGGGAGAGGCAAAGAGGGAAGAAGAGGAAGAAAGAATTAAGATGAAGGAATTGAGAAATAATATTCATGTCTCCTTTTCCATTCATGTTCAATTCTAATAGTAAAATAAATAACAAACTTATAACAAATTATGCCAGCTAACAATATGCTAACAAACTTTACTGATTATCATTCTTCACACAAAATTAGTTAGTTTTGCTAGTTTTTGGATGCTTCTCTTGCTTCTTCCGGGTAGCTGCATGGCTGGGTCTCCTTGGGTGATATTTGGGCCTACATCAAATCTATACGAAACCAAACAAGAAAAGGACAAAAAAAAAAACATAAAAGCAAAGAATTCTTAGCTTTATAGTAAACTGTAGCATTTTAGTCAAAGTTTGCTTCATCTACGTATCATGGTGAGGAAGGAAAAGGAGTACCAATTTTAAATTTATAGCAGAAAATTCTAAAATTATTTTATACGAGACTATTTAAAATTATATATATATATATATTGTTCTAGACTAATTATTTAATTTGTATGATGCTAGTATTCTGTAATTCAGCTCTAAAAAATAATTTTGGTCGTATCGTATAAGGAGAGGGAAAAAATCATTTTCACCCCTGTATTTATAACAAAAAATCAACTTGAACCTTCTTTCTTTTTTTCCACTATCCTGCTCATCTCTTTCACCTTATTTCTTATTTCACTATCTTGCTTCATAAGATGCTTAATTGCTTTTGTTATATAATCAGCATTCACCTCTGCTTTTCTTAGTAACCTTCTAAAGTCTGCTCCTCTCTCGTTTTTTGGTGTTGATTTAGACAAGTCAAATCTCCATAGCACCAGCTTTCCTTTTCTTCCTTTTGTGCTAGAAATTTTTGTTTCTAGCAGTGAACAAATGTGTTCTGCTCAGTATGTGTGGAACTGGTCATGATCTTGTTCGAAATATAAATCTTGATGCCCAAGAATTTAGGGTGATGGCAGTGAACTATATACATTCATTTATATAAAAGATTCCGAGAAGTCGATGGATGTTTACAAGAATAGTCGAACGGAGCAGTTGTAAACTTGTAACATATGTCAGCCTTATTGGGCTGGAGAAAAAGTTATCGGTGCCGATCTTTCTCGAGCAGTTAACAGATATGTTTTCTCGTCATAACCTTATATTGATTTTGGCTAGTGGAGATTTAAGCTTTTTTCAATCGATCTAGAAATATTATTTTCTTCCAACTCTATTTTTTTCTTTTCAAAAACTAGATTGTGGAACGAGAAATAAATTCGTTCACCTATTAGAATAAATTAATCTACAAGATTGAACAATGAATATGAATGTTAGGTTAATGGCTCAGTTGTTTTTGTATAATAAAATAATTCTTTAATATGTCTTTATATCCCTATTTGAATAAATTTATCATTAAACATATATTATGTGTTTAATCTATTATTCTGATATGATTTTTAAATTAAATTATCAAAATTAGTCTCACAATTTATACAAAAAAAACCTGCTATTTAACTGACTTGTAAAGATATTTTGAAAATAAAAATTAATTATATGTAAACCACATAAATAATTATTGTGATTTATATTAAAATCTTAACAAAATAATAAATTAAAAATTTTGATGAATATTTAAGAACAAAATTGACTCAATTAAAAATAAAATAACTAACAGAGTATTACCTTACTAAAAAGAATAAATTACGTCGTTATTCCTGTAAAAGCTTTCCATAATAGAGAAGTTGGACACTTTCTTCTTACTACTTGGAAAGGATAAGTCGGGCTCACGATGGTGGTCTGGCAATCCAATTATTATAGTATCTTTCCGTTTCTCTAAAATGACTGGAAAAGGTCTTAGTTTACTCTAAGTTCTTTTTTCCCCTTCTTGCTCAAGTGCTCTTGCTCCATCTATCACTGGCTCTGGAATATTACATTATACTCACACAAAGGAAATTTAAAACATCATAACGAAGGAGAGGATAAAAAATAATGAGAAATACAGTACTACACGTACCAAGATAGATCACAAAGAACACAAAATTGGCTGTAGACAAATACGATACAAGAATAATTAAGCTTTTGATATGACTAAATTATAAATTAGTCCCTCTAGTTTTTAAAAATGAATTAATTAGTCCACTTTGTTTCAAAAACTAATTATCTAATTTTTATGTTTTAACATTTCTTATAACTTAATCATTTTACTCTTTTTCAATTTATTTTAATTTTTCGTTTTATTAAAAATGAGAATAGATAACATTTTATAAAATAAAATAATGTTAAATTAAGTGCGGCTAACATTGGTTGAGAAACTAATTAATTAATTTTTAGAACAAGGAAATTTTTTTAGTTCATTTCTCAAAAATAAAGGAACTAAACTCTGCTTCCTTAGTTGCTTTCCTAAAAAGTCAATCAGGGTAAAATTAACTAACAAAATTGGCTAGCTTTTCAGGACTCGACGGAGTAGTAGTCGCAAGTAAATTATTTTTATTTCTTGTGCTTTTTGTTATTCATATCAAAAGAAGGTGCTTTTTTGGGTTTTTTTTTTTTTTAAAAAAAAAAGGTCGTTATGAAGATGCGTTTTCTGTGCTTTTAAAAACATGAAATAAAATAAAATCGGCAACTGTAGATATGAAGATATCCAATCCAATCGTTATGGTTGATGAGGTCGTGACTTTCAGATTAATTTCAACGATTGGATGATTGCTACTCCATGTTGATCATATGGTCGTTATCATTATTGAAGATCTATGACAAGTACTTACAAAACAAATCATCTTTGAAAGAGTCATTGCATTCATTGAATTAAATCTGAATACAGGAGACTATGTATAGAAGTTTAGAGCTTTTGTTCCAGCTATTTGAATATTCAAACTATACAGATAATATCATATCCACTTTTGAATTTTAATTTAAATATTATCCTTATCACTCCTTTTCAAGTTGGCAGTGGGTGGAAGTACTATTAACTTGTTTATGAAGTGTTGTAACAAGGAGCAATTGACTTTTTAATACAAAAAGAAAATGGGATTAGGTGACTTTTTCTGTGAACAAAATACGTGAGAAAATACTTGAACAAATCAAATATTTATTTCAAAATAAGGCTAAGCACTTATGGCTTTTAATTCTTACAAGAAACTGAGCTTCAACTAAATTGCTTCCTCATATGTTGCCCATCACATCTTCTATCAAATGACCTAGTGAAGCGTACGAAGATCCGCCATTCATCAAGGTTTTCTCACTTATTTTACTCATCTCTTTCACCTTTTTTCTGGTTTCACTATCTTGCTCCATAACATATTTTATTGCTTTCATTATGTCTTCAGCGCTCACAATAATTTCATTATCACCAAAAAAATTCCCTTGATAATCCATTTTAATTTCCACCGCCAATCCCAAATCAATCACCATTTGAAAAGCATTAAACTGTTGTTCTGCATATAATGGCCAGGTAGCAACTGGAACACCAAATCTTACACTTTCTAGTGTAGAATTCCATCCACAATGCGATGCGAACCCTCCCACAGCTGGATGTGCTAAAATATCTACTTGCGGAGCCCACCCAATAACCTTTCCAATCTTAGCAGTTCGATCTGAAAAACCTTGAGGTAAAATTTCCTGAAAATCTTCATAGTTACTCGGGGATCCTATTTTACCTTTCGGCGAGGGTTTACGTAAGGACCACAAGAAACGATATCCACCATGCTCTAGTGCAAATGCGATCTCTTTCACTTGTTTTTCACCGAAACTTCCCCAACTACCGAAACACAAAAACATAACCGATGATGGGGGTTGATTATCAAGCCATTCCATGACGTCTCTAAAATTGTTGCTCTCATCTGATCGCAAATCACGATCATCTCCTACATGTTTCACAATAGGTCCCACGGGATACACCGATGGTGTTTTACCATCGGAAAGAGAGTTAACGGCATGAGATTCAAACTCTAAAAATGTATTTACCAAAATACCCTTTGCTTCGGTCAATATTCTTGCATGTTCAAGAAAAATTGCGAGCAGGTCTTTCTTGAACACCAACGTAGGCGCAAGTTTAGCAGGAAGTGGGTTTACCAAACTCGGAATTTCCAGCAGAGCATCCGAGTTCTTGAACTCAGTAAGGTCCACTCCTTGCTCATCGTGAAGAGACCGAAGATGCAACATGCAACTCAGAAAAGCTGCACTCGCAGCAGAGAAAACATACCATGGAACCCCAAATTCAGTAGCTACATCTCTCATCCCAGTAGCAAACGTATCAAAAACAAACCCAGCAAGTCGATGAGAGTCTGGATTCAACTCCGACTGAGTTCTAATCCTGGAAACATATTCTTTGACATAGGGTTTTTGGCCTTCAATCAAAGAAATAAGCCAGTTACGGCCGTGAGTCTCTGCTGATATGGACTCAAGATTTGGCAAGTTAATGACTCGCATACGATCGGGCAGAGTTGATGCAACTAGTGACTCAGTATATTTGGTGGTGCTGGGGTCAAAAGTTGGATGCATGATGAAGACAGTTGAGGAAAGTCGATCATCACGTCGAACAAGAAGCTTAGCTACCTCGACTAGGGCTACAATATGACCCATAGCAGGGAAAGGGATAAACACCACCTCTGCTTTCTTCATTTGCTATAAATTTTTGCTGCAATACTATGTTTTAGTTCGATGCTCAGTACATGCTTATATATAAGATTGTAAAATGTAATCAAATTGACGTGCTTTAATGGGAATGTAATCTTGCTGGATACCAAGTTTGAGTTTTCTAAAAAATGGATTTTGAATGGACAAAGCTATTAGAATTAGTATGGAGAAACTATTAAGGTTGAAATTTCTTGATGTTGAATTTTGCATCGTCACTGCTTTTTAGACAAATAACATGCTTTGACGTTTTGAGAAGCAATCGAGAAGAATTGTTTGTGAGAATGGTTTAACTCATGAGTCATGATAGTTACTAGTAACAACTATGGTTGATGTCATCTTTTTGATTGTTGTCAATCTATACGAATAAAAAAAATGTATATATTCTTAGCTTCAAAGTTTACTTTATCATTTTAGTCATGGTGAAGGAAGGAAAAAGGGTACCAATTTTAAATTGATAGTAGAAAATTCTACAATCATTTTATACGAGACTATTCTTTATATATATATATATATATATATATTGTTCTAGACTAATTATTTAATTTGCATGATGCTAGTATTCTATGTATTAGTTCGATAATTAAGCTCTAAAGAATAATTTTGGTTGTATCGCATAAGAAGAGGGAAAAAATCATTTTCACCCAGTATTTATATCAAAAAATCAACTTGAACCTTCTTTCTTGTTTCACTATCCTGCTCATCTCTTTCACCTTATTTCTTATTTCACTATCTTGCTTCATAAATATTATGTTTAATTGCTTTTGCCATATCATCACCATTCACCTCTGCTTTTCTTATTACCTTTCTATAGTCTGCTCATCTCTCGTTTTTGGTATTGATTTAGACAAGTCAAATCTCCATAGCACCACCTCCGCTTTTCTTCATTTCGTGCTAGAAATTTTGGTTTCTAGCAGTAAACAAATGTGGTTTGCTCAGCTTGTGTGGAACTGGTCATGATCTTGTTCGAAATATAAATCTTGATGCCCAAGAATTTAGAGTGATAGCAGTGAACTATATATACATGCATTTATATAAAAGATTCCTTCAATACCCCAAATTTTTTTCCATTTCTAATTTGTTTTTCATTTTTCCTTTCTTTATTTTCTTTTAGTTTTTCCTGTGATATTCTAGTTTCTTTTATTTTAGTTTAGTTTATTTATTTTAGTTCATGTTTTATTTTTTAAAAAAAATTAAATAAGAAATTAAAAAAAAGTTATTGATATTAGAAGTTTGATACAAAATACAAATAATAATAATAATAAGTCCAAAAAAAAAAAAAAGCAAAGATGTACAATTTCCTTCTTCGTCTTTGTGCAGTTTCTTGTTATCTTTCCAAGCCAAACTGCAGCTCGTCGTACCCTCCTTTTGTCTTGCAACATGCAGTCTCTCTCCCCAAATCAACCTCCAACAGCCCCTACTCCTGAAACCTCCAGCAGCAATCAAGAGGAGTTAAACTTTTTTCGTTTCTGTTCCAAACAGAATTAATCCTGTTTTCATTGTGAGATAAAAATATTTGAAAAAAAAACATATTAATTCACACCTTTAGGAAAAAAATAAAATAAAAAAGTATGTTAAAATGTATATAGCCTAAATGGCGCTTTTTGTGACTAAGTAACAAATGAAGGCTAGTTAGCGAGTTAATCATTTAATTTACTTAGCTAACCGTTAGAAGTTTATTATGTCAGTATACAACAAACTGACTTTACAATAACGCGAGTTGAACATGTATATACCTTTTTCTTTTTTTGTATCTTCTCTACAAATTAAGAGAACAGAGCATTTTACTCCAATTCATACTCTTCCACACATTCCTACCTAATCTTGAATCTTGTTTGCCTATTCTTGAATCTAATTTCTCACATAGTATCAGAGCATAAGATCGATCACTACTGAGTGATTCATCTACTCCAGCTCTGCATTCAAATTATGGCTACTATATATGAACGAGAATAGTGATTCTTTAACAATGCCAGTAATAGCTTCCAATCCTCTGCAATTGATGAGATCAGATGTGACTGGGATGTTTCTTGTGAACTAGTCATTGATAGGAGCTTCAAACTACATTCCATGGTGCATATCAATGGAGATCGCTCTTGCCTGTAAGAATAAGCTTGGTTATGTTAATGGCGTCATTCCAAAACCAAGAGAAAGAGATTTGAATCTTCCACAGCAGAAGCAAGTTAATAATATGGTAATTTCTTGGTGGCTTAGTGTTGTTTCTAAAGAAATTGAAAAATCCATACTCCATGGTAGCACTGCAGATAATTATATGGTTAAATCTTAAGAAACGTTTATCAAATAGTGCTAGTATTATGATTTATGGTTTGCGTAAGGCAATCTCATCTTGCAATCAAGAAAGTATGAGCATTGAAGCTTATTACACAAACTCAATCAGTTGTGGCATGAATTTAAGGCCATGACTCATATTCCATTACGCAAAGAAAATGCTCATTGTGAAGTTGCAAAGGCATGGGAAGAACAAAAGGATGAACGAGAGGTTAATGTAGTTTTTGATGGGATTAAATGATGCTTTTAAACCGGTTAGAGGTTAAATTTTACTGATGAAGCCTTTACCATGTGTGGAGGATGCATACTTTATGGTTCAATAAGAAGAAAAACAAATTGAGGTTTCACGGTTTATCCCTATAGAGGATATAACATCTGCTATAATGATCGAGAATAACATGAGCGGAATCAAGGAATTCGGGTATGGGATACGAATATTAGGAAGAATTTATGATGTGAATATTGTCAAATAGCGGCGCATGTGAAGGCAAAATTCTTTAAGCTCTATGGTTATCCACCTAACTATAAATAAAAAGGGAGGAGGAATGTTGTAAGCTGTTCAAGGAAGTTTTCAAAAAGCTCAAAGTCACGATGTTGAATATGGTGACCGAGTTGAATCTTGGTAATTTATCCAATAGCATGCTTTCGAAAGGTTTAAACGAGTAGGTGCGCCAATGTTGAGATTACTTCAATGCTTTAAGACACCAATGCTAATGTTTTTTCCCAACCTAATCCCCATTTTACTCCGACCAAATGAATCAACTCCTACACCTTCTTGCTCGATAAAATTCATCTCGCTCCAATATAAATTCATCATCCGGCGGTATTAGTCATTGCTTATTAGTATCTCATACACTTGATAATTGGATTATATTGATAGTGGTGTAAGCGATCATATCACAAATTATTTTCTCTTTTATAATCACCTACAAAACTACCTATTCGTCACCTAGTTCATTTACCGGATGGTTTTAGTGCACATGTAACACATAGGAATTGTTTCCATACATTACGCCACTTACTTTACATAATGTCTTGTTTGTTTCGGTTTTTAAATATAATCTCTTATCTGTCAATAAACTCATTCGAGATTCTAACTTTATTATCACATTCACATCCAATTCTTGCCACATGCGGGACCATGTGTAGGTGATAGTTGTGAAAATTGATAGATAAATTGATGGCTTATATTGGCTTAGTTCTTTCCTTCAAAACATAAGTCAATACTTCCTTACTCAATCCTAATTGTTCAAAATTTTGTCACAACTAATTGTCAAAACTTCTCGCAAGCTTTCTTTATCCGGACTTGTTTCTGTTCGGACAAGCTTTAATCTGTCCATCACAGACTCGAATTCTACCGGGTAGTATCCTCGCTCTTCTTTTCTTTATTTTACGAGTTTAGATCATCTTTATCAATATAAGCGATGACGTTTCTTAAAAACATAAGTAGATCAAAATCCAAATTAAATCTTTATCAAAATTGCTTTTGGTTATAAGCAATATTAAGTCTATCAAATTTTTTTTAAAAAAAAAATAATAATAATAATAAGCATGCGTGCACGACATGAGAAAAATGAAAATAAGTTTGGAGCGAATCTAGTGTTTTTTTTTTTTATTAAACTTCAATATCGTCAACATCTTCCCTCAAATTTTCATAAGAAGTCGGCGTTTTTCCTCAATTTACCCAAGCTAGTACAAGTTTTTTAGTCTCCAAACTTTTGAAATTTGATCAAATAAAATCCTTTTAAATTAATTTCAAAAAATTTTACGGAGTAAAAAATGATTTCGTTAGTTGATTTCAAAAATTAATGTCTTGTTTGTTTCGGTTTTTAAATATAATCTTTTATCTGTCAATAAACTCATTCAAGATTCTAACTGCATTATCACATTCACATCCAATTCTTGCCACATGCGGGACCATGTGCGGGAGATAGTTGTGAAAATTGATAGATAAATTGATGGCTTATATTGGCTTAGTTCTTTCCTTCAAAACACAAGTCAATACTTCCTTACTCAATCCTAATTGTTCAAAATTTTATCACAACTACATTAGACAATTCCGTATTATGGCATCATAGGTAAGGCCATGCTTCGTTCAAAAAATTTACACATCTTGTTTATATCATTCCATATTTATGTAATGTAAAACACATGGATTGTTCTATTTGCCCTTTGGCCAAACAATCCAGATTACCCTTTAATAAAAGAGATATTTCTTCTTCCAAAACATTTCATATCGTTCATTGTGATGTTTAGGGACCTTAACACATAATGGTTTTAGATACTTATAATTGTTGATGACTTCACTAGAAATACTTAGACTTATTTGATGATTTCAAAGAGTGAAGTTCCTTCTTTGTTGAAGTCTTTCTTTAAAGCTGGTCCAGAACCGGTTCTATAGCTCCATTCAAATAATTCACACTAATAATGGTTCAAAGTTTGTCAATCAAACTTTACAATCTTTCTTTCTTACTCATGACATTCTTCATCAAAAAAGTTGTATCCATACTCCATAACAAAATGGCATTCCCGAACATAAACACGGACATATTCTTGAGGTAGCTAGAGCTTTAAAATTTCAAGCCTCATTACCCATCCAATTTTTGGAAGAATGTGTGTTGACTATCACTCACCTCATTAACAAATTACCATCTTTTTTTCTCCATGACAAACACCTTTTGAAGTTCTCTTTAACTCTC